TGTGCCAGGTGCCCTGCCGAGGTCTCTCTGTGCTGTGTCTCATCTCATTTGTCAGCCTTCCTCTGAGCCCCGGGGCTGGTGTCATCCCAGTGTTCAGATGGGAAAACTGAGGCTCAGGGCACAAGGGACTTATCCAAAGTCCCACAGTCCAGAGGGGGGGGATAACTGGAGCTCACCTTTGCCCCTTCCCAAATCCCAAGTTCTCATCCACGGCGGGTGTAGCCTCCCTGTCTGTCCACCTGCCCATCCCCTGCCTCCCTGCACATGGGATTTGAGGCAGCTGCTCCTAATACACGCAAGGCAGGAGAAAAATGAAACTATGTGGAAAATCAAGGGCAGAGAATGTAGAGTCGGAAAAGAAAGACGAGCCTGGGGAAGGCAGGGATGTGTAAACTGGAAAGTTCTAGAACTTCTGACACTCTTTGGAAAGGTGTCCCCTGCGGGCCCTTTCCCCTCCTCCCCCTGCGCTCCAGGTGCACTGCGCCCTACCCTCCATGGGGTGTCCGTTAAGGGGCAGGGAGCTTGCTCATGTGGGCGCTGACCTCACAGCGCGCTGCCCCCGGCCTGTCACTTGTCTGCTCCCCAGGAAGGAGGCTTCACTGGACAACAAGATGTCATGCATGGAACTATTCTTGTCCCAAGCTGGGCCCTGCCTCAGGCGTTTCGACAGAATGAGCCACTTTAACTAAGGGCTGGGTGAAGCTCAGGTTCCAAACTCACTTTCTACCTAAGGACTGAGCCGTGCAGACCTCCTGGTGAGATCCGATCACAAATCCCACAGCCAGGGGCCCTGACGGAGAGAAGTGAGAGCTTTCGGGGCTTCCTGGCCCAATCAAAACCCTGGTCCTTCCTGTAAGACTCAGTTCTAATCTCCCCTCCTCTGAGAAGCCTTCCCGGATCGCACCGACCTCCCACTCCCCCAACCATTTTCCATTAAGCGCTTACCTAGCACTGACTGAGCCAAGAGGGAGGGCAGCGGTCCTTCGGGGCTCCTACCACATCAGAGTGTCTCCCCCACGCCTTGTTGGCCGTGTCTGTTGTGAATATCCGCAAGGTCTGCCGTGACCTCGTGTTGAGGGGAGCAGGGGGCTGGGGCACGCTCTTCTCTGTGGGTTCGGGGGCCAGGAACACAGCAGGGAAAGGAGGCCTGAACCAGGGGGCCAGTCGGCTCAGTGCTGCTGGCTGGGAATATTTCTTGAATACCCACGTCTGGCAGGAGGCGGGGCACCTATGACCTCGATTCTGCAGATGGAGTTCAATGTCACGGTGAGGTGGGGGCTAGAAGACTCAAGGATCCACCTGCCATCTGCCTTAATCAGCCCAGCAGTCCCCTTGGGTGGGGGGATAGGGCCACCGGCTCGGCATCTGGGTAAACTGAGGCAAGGAGACGGCAAAGCAGGTTCTGAGGGAGAAGTGTGCTCAGAGATACACTTTCGTGGCCCCTCGGCCAAGCCAGAGTCTCCTTGGATAAAAAGTTGACTGTTCATCTGCTTCAAAACCAAGGGGATCAATGTTGGACTCGAGATAACATCGAAGCCTGATACGAGAACAGAGCTCATACTCTTCAAATGCGTCCGGATATTCTGAGGGAGGCATTTCCTTCTCCTAGGCAGTTGGGGGGGGGGGCAAGGCAGCCAAGATCACCCCCCCAATTACAGATGAGGAAACGGAGGTCAGGAGAGACTTACCCCCGGTCACCCTGCCCGAGAAAACAACAAGGCTGGGATGGGAGCTCGGGGCCTCAGACCCCAGGCCTGTGCCTCTAGACAGGAGACACGCAGCCTCTCTTTGGCAGCTTCCAGAGGGCCTCAGGGCTGTGAGCTCCCAGCTCCACCCCTCACTCCTGGGACCCCTGCATGCCAAGATCCCCCGGGGACATGAGCAGCGAGTCGAACCCACGACTGAGCAATTATGTCGAGCAGCCGTGTCTCAGACCGTACCCTGCATGCATCTGAATCGCCTGCACTGCTGGTTAAAATGTAGGTTCTGGCTCAGGTGGTCTGGGGCAGGGCCTGGGATTCTGCATTTTTAACAAGGTGAGTCCAAGGACTGCACGTTAGGTAGCAAGCAGGTATCTACAGAATTGCTTTAAACACTACCTGCCTGGTCTGTGGCCAGCAAAGTCTCTCTCTCTCTCTCTCTCTCTTTCTCTTTTCCCCACTGTCGCCCCTCCTCACCGTCTCTCTCCTGAGGCTCAAGGGTTGGCTTTTATCTCAGAGGCACAGGAAGAGAGTTTTGGAGCACGGAGGGGCCTGCTTCCCACACCCAACCTCTCCCGCCCCCTGGGCCCTCCAGCGTGGCCAGGCTGGCCCTCTCCGGCCGGGTCCCCCAGAATGGAGGGCAGACGGCTATCTGTCCTCTCCCGCGGCCCTCACTGAAATTTTGCCCTTGCCCTCAGATCCTCTGTTGAGAGCTCATCCCTATTAATTCTCATTGTGCATTTAGAGCCAATAGGTTTTTATTTATTCATTTATCTTGGTCTTCTCCCCCCTCCCCTTCCTCACCAGGCTGGAATTTACAATTCAGTTCTCAGGTGGCCTTGCGGAAGGACGGAAGGACAGGAAGCCCGGCGGGAGGGAGGGTCTGTGCACTGAACCCTGGAAAGGGCGGCTGCCTCTTGGCCCATCTTGCACCCTGGGGGTGCTCCAGGGCTCACACTCCAGTTGGCTGGATGCTGGGACAGGACCTGGGACCCACTGGGCGCTCGCAAGGCTAAAGGGGCAGTGGGGGGCTGGCTACTTGGTGGGGCGCCCCCTGGTGGTTCACATCACCTGCCGTGCCCAGAGCGGTTCAAGCTCCCCGGCCATGCCACATAGCCCTGCTGCCCAGAGACTAGAAATACGGGGCGTGGCGTCCTCAAGGCTGAACAGAGGAAAGAAAAGCCAGGGACACGGCTGAGGGCCTCCTAACAACAATAATAAATGCATAACACCTACTGCACATTGAGCACCTACTGTGTGCCAGCACAGTGCCCAGGGCTTGGCACGGCCAGGGCGCATCCCCTTGCCAGCCCTGTGACACCCAGACAGTATCACCTCTACTTTACAGGGGAGGAAACCGCAGCTCAGAGGGGCAGGCCGAGCCACCTAGTGGGTGAGCAGTTGCAGACCAGTTGCCTGCCCGCCTTCTAAACTGAGTGACCTTGCCAGGATTTAGGCAAACCTTTCTAATCCCTACAACAGGATTAGAACAGTCCCCCCACCCCCACCCCCGCCAGAGCATCCCGGAGATGATTAAATGAGACACACACAGGACCTGCTCAGGGGAAGCTGCACGGGGGGTTGAGTCCATCTGGACGGGACCCCCCGCTCCCTGCAGAAGCCAGCTCCCCCCACCACCCCCCCCCCCGCCTGCCCAGGCAGAGTCCCCATTCTTGTCGGCCGCACATTTGTAATCAAAGGCGGAGCAGGACGGCAGCCTGTAATGAAATATTTAAGTCCACCAGACAGCTGTGGAGACACCGAGGACCCACCTATGCGGGAGATGTCGAAGACGTTGTTTTTCCTCGTCCGTCTCCCCAGGAGAGAAGGAGAAGGGACACCGCCTGGGCTCAGGTGGGGCAGTGCTAGGATTGTGGGTCGGGGGGGGGTGACCACCCCACCATGGCAGCCGCACCGGGTCCCCCGTGTGAGGGTGCAGGCAGGGCCGAGAGTGTCCTGAGCCAGCTTTGGCCAGGAGAGGGCCTCAGACTTGCATTTGATGGTCACCTCCACCCCTCAAGCCCTTGACCGGAAGCTGGTCCAATGAATTATGATTTAGCTGCCCTGTCCCACACCCTTCCCCCCAGTACATTAGGGCAATGATTAATATTTAAGAGAAGAAATACACTCGAGACTCTAATAGGAGAGACAGAGGTTGACTCTGTTCAGGGAGTGAGTGGAGAAGTGTTCACAGGAGCTGGGGGGAGGGGGGGGGTGTCGGCCTAATGCACAGGCTCAGAACTGGGCTCCGCTGCCCGTCGACCTGGCCTTGCCCCTGACCTTCAGGAGCCGACCGCCTTGCTCACCCCTGAGCCAGCGAAGCCCTGGGATCCCGAGTGCAGTGACCCCCATGGACTATCCAGTTTCTGCCCCCAGCCCTGTGCTGCCTTCTTCCCTCCCTCCCCCGCTGGCTCCCTTGGCCCAGCCACCGTCCACAGTGACAGACTCACGACGGACTGCTGACTGTCCAAGTGGAAACCTACCTTCCCAGGCTGACTGCCCTGTGATAGGAACAAAACTCCCCGCGGGACAAAGGCGTCCCCAGGAGCCCGGGGTGCCTGCTCAGTCCAGCCATAGGCCCCAGAGGCTCCCTCAAGGACACCCCAAAGATGACAACGAGCCCCTCCTGTTAGCTCCCACAGCCTGGATGCCCAGCGCGGGGCTGGGGAGGGGGCTCCGCAGAGCTGCCCAGCGGGAAGGCCCCTCTCGGCAGGCAGTTTAGCTCAGTGGCTTTGGAGCCAAACACACGAGTCCCAGCTCCAGGACTTCCTGGTGCGTGACTCCGGGCCTCAGTTTCTCCATCCGTCCAACAGGAAGGACAACCGCTAACGTCTGGGGGGCACTTGCTCTGGGCCAGGCACTTCACGTGGGACGAATTAGCTCCCTTACTCCTACGATGCCCATTTGATAGACAATGGAACAGAGGCCCAGACATGTCACCCCCCAGAACTCCTCCTTTATACGACGCGGGGTCCGCCTGGCGGAGCTGAGGGGAGGACTTGGGCGTGAAGCTGTCAGCCCACACACGAGGAGCTCCCACAGATGACCCCCCGCTATTACGGAAACGATCCAGTGGTCAGCGGGCCAAGAATGTGCCCGCCCCAGAGAACGAGGTCACGTGACCTCAGAGCCCCGGGGCCGGGGCGGGGGGGCGGCCTTTGCTTTGGCACTTTTCCAACGTGGGACAGCCATCCGGTGCCCATCAGCCTTGCATCTGGGCCCCCCATCGTGCTCACCCATCACAAGAGTCTGTCCCGACCCCCTCCCACTCGGCCTGAGCGAAGCAGTGGGCTGACTTACGTGGGAGCAGAATCTCTCAGGGGGGTCTCCACACGTGATGCCTGAGGGTTCCACCTTCACCTTGACGTAGTCCTTTAGCCGCATCACCTTGGGCTGGCAGGCATAGAACTCCCAGGTGGGGCCCTCATCCGTGGTCACCCAGGATTTGCAGATGTCGTAGTCCCCAGAGGCCAGTGGGAGGCAGTGCAGGAACAGAGCCAGCAGGGGCAGCATGGCTGAGCAGTCCGCAGGGGCGTGGCCCGGACGGGCGCTAGAGAGGCAGCGACTGGGTCAGGCGGGACTCTCGGCCTCAGCATGGAAGGGCCACATCTGCCAGGCAGTGGTGGCTGGATGACCCGGGGACTCGAGCACCGACTGCCGGGTCGCAAAGGGCGAGGAACCTGTTTCTTCCCGAAGGCCGATGAGGAAAACCCAGAGCCGGCGTTTCTCAGACTGCTGATGGGCAGATCAAAAAGTTGCCCATAACTTGGCGTCCTCCTAACCTTGGCATTACACCTCTCCCGGAGGTGAATCTGATCAAATCAGGCAGGCTCTCAAATTGTGACAGCGGATGGAAATGGGATAAGGAGCAAATCCGCGGGGATCCGGCATGAGACGGGATCAGATTGCTTCTAATTTTTGTCCCTCCAATCAATCCAGGTTCTTTAAAGGACCCTTAATGTGTGATGGGCTCAGCACAACCGCAAAACAACCCTCCGGCCTGCGTTGTAAAGATAAAATAAAAATCAGGAGGTGTACGTGTTAGCTGGAAAGATGTTCCCTCTGTGGGACCGGACTGGCATCTCAGACCAATAAAAGAGATTTCTCTTCACATGGGCTTAAAGTGACACCAATGGTGTGGCTGGACTACGGCATAAAAAAGTGACCGAGGTTTTCACTGGGGAGCAGCTTATGTGGCTCTGCTTTGTGGGGGACGGGCACTAATGGGGGCCAGCTGACCTTGGCTGGTAGCCATCGGCCACTTATTATGAAGTTTCTCACACTTCCGCTCTCAATGCATCCAGGTACCCGGGGCTGGCTTGTCTTTCATTGTTAAGAGGGGAGGAGAGAGAGCTCATTAGCAACAACACCTGCAACAAATTAAAAAGAGAGAGGGGGGGGGGGAAAGACGTGTAAGAACAAAAGCTCTCTGGCAAAATGTGCAAAAAATGAGGCTGCATTCGCGAGGTCTCCCGAGAAAAGTAGGTTATTTTTATTAACATCAGAGCCGCGCAATTGGAGATTGGGCACGTAGTCAACGAGGTGATTTGGTTTTTTCCCCTCCTTTCCGGGAGCCGTTAGGCCAGCAGAAGGGCCCCCCCGCTTCGGGGTCACCAACTTTCCAAAAGGTCCTCGGAAGTCAAGATTGAGTGACCGCGACCGACAAGTCAAAGGTCAGAGTCGTCACCCTGCGTGCAGACGAGTCTGTACGTACAGGTACGGATGAACACAGAGGTCCGTGTGTGGACCCACAGGTAAGAACCAGGAGCCGATAAATCGCTCTCCAAATTCTGAAACGGTGAATTTCATTTGCAACGCTGAGATACCAGGGACATTGAAGACTTCCACAGAAGTGACAGTGGTTTGTCATAATAGGTTTTCTGATCAAGGCCAAAATTCTGCAATAATCCTTAGAGGGTGTGCCCATAAATGAGTCACCATTATGATTATTGCTCTGCTATTTTAAGCTACTGATAATGATTTAAGAGCCCAAAGAGCTATAACTAAGACAAATGTTACATTGTAGAAAACATGACTCCACTAATGTGGTGCGTTCCCAGACACTTGATACATTACCAGGAGAATTTGAGTCCAGCCGGTGTGGGATCCTGGCCAAAAATACTAGCCAATAGGGCAAAGGTTATGGAATGAGTCACAGCAGAAGCGCCCACATTATTAATTATTCTGGTTATTGTTCTACCTAGGATTATCGCGTCTAAATCCCCAAACTGCTCGGGCATCCGTGCTAACCTCAGCCTGATTCTCACCTGACATCGTCACGGAAGGTCTCTGAAGAGTTAATCACTTTTCCATGAAACCCCGTCCTCGGCCCAGACACAAACACACACCTGCCAGAAATGACACACCGGGGAAGTGGACATTGTCCAGAGAGGGCTGGTGGCTCACCTGGGCTCCCGGCAGAAGCCCTCAGCCAGTGTCCCCACGCTCCTGGTGGGGGGGGGGGACTCATAAATCTGCATTAAGGCGGCCCCTGCCCCTGTCTCTGGCTGAAGGGCTCTTGATGGAGATGAATAAGGAGCCCAGGGGGACCACGTTCTCACCGCTCACCTCTGGCTGTTTAAAGAGAAACCTGTTATAGAGCCTGCCTGGCCTTGAATGCGCTCCTTGCTAGAAACTCTCAGAAAGAACCCGCCTGGCGACTATTTTTACAACCTGAGAAAATGTAGTAAAAATAAAATAGCGCGGCCGGCAAAGGTTTGGATGCCTCTACCCAAGCTTCGTGCTGCCCAGAAAACAGCACGTCCCTAATTAATTCTTCCAGCCGCGGACTCCCAACTGTTCACTAAACAGGTAGGGAGCTCCCGGCGGCCGGCGACACCCCCTCGGGGGCGCTGGCTGCGGGCTTCCTTGATCTGCAGGGCCAGCGGCGGCGGCGGCGGCGCAGGGCTCCGGCTGCGCGGGGAGGCAGCGAGGCCCGGGAGGCCGGGAGGCCACGGAGAGGGAAGCTCGGAGCCCCTCGAAAATCTATTCACCGCTTGGCAGTTCGGCTGGTTTAAGCGCGGCGCGTTCCCTGCAAAGTGGGGTGCTGGTGGAGAGCCAAGGACAACCAAATCTGCTGGGGGTGGGGTAACAAATGTGTTTACAACCAGTCAATCAACTGAGCGTTGCTGGTATTATAGGGGGAACTGTGAGCTCAGCAGGCGCACATTACAGCCGGCTTTTGCCAAAAGTGGGGGGGGGGGAGGGAGGGGGGTTGGAGAGAAGCAAGAGTCTCCGGGAAAAGGAGGCGGAAAGCAGGGAGTGCGAAGCCAGCAGGGAAATTTCAGAATAAGAGGTTGTATCCCGGTGGGTCGTTTTCTCCTTGGAAAATAAATCTTCACCTGATATTATTAAGAAACTGCAGCTCCCAGAAACAAATAGAATCAATGCCCTTTATTTTCTTTTAAGAGTCCTCAGGAACCGAGGTGGGGGTGGGGGGCTGATAGCCAGGGTATTAAAACCCGAAAATTAGATTTTGCCAGGATTTCTGAACTCCGATTTCTCTGTCTTATTGAATTAGCGCCTCTCGGAGCTGGCTGGGCTCGGAGCAGGCTCCTCCCCGAGTTGCCGGCTGCGCCCTCGCCTCTTGGGAAACTTGGCGCTGTGGGCGCGGGGGTCCCCTGGGGGGCACTGGAGGAGGCGGTACGGGGGGGGGGGGCGTTGCCCCCCGAGGAGCCTCCTCTCTCCCAACCGGGGGGGGGGGCAGCGGGGCCGAGTGAAATCTGCCTTCCAGGGGGTGGGGGGTGCCCGAGGGCTAGGAAGGAAGGGGGAGCCCGCTGCGGCCAGGTCACCTTCTCGCCCTCCACCCCCGGGGCCGGGGCCTGGAGGTGTTCCGAGCTCCAGCAGCTAAGCCGCCCCGGGCGCCCCCCAGCCCCGGGACGGGGGCCGGCTCCGGCTCCCCGCGCCCCCCCACCCCCCACGGCCTCCCGGCGGCCGGGAAGCCCCGAAAAGTTGAGGGCTGGGGAGTGGGGGCGCGAGAAGGAGGCCTCGGCTGCGCGGGGGCGGGGTCCGTCCCGGCGGACCGAGGGGTCGGCCGGGGCGCAGTCCGAGCTCCGGGTGGGCTGCAGGAGGCGTGCTTCGCGTAGGGGCTTGCCTCGCAGTCCCGCAGCTGCGGTTCGTCTTTCCGAAGTTGAGTGCGGGCCCCGGGCGCGATTAACACGCACGCCTTGTAATGAAGGCCGGGCGGGCGCGGAGGGTGTGCCCCCCTCAGTGGGCACCGCCTCCCTCGATCAGGAGCTGCCGAGCAGAGCGCCCGGGGAGCGGTGGCCCCCTGACTCCCGGCGCCGCTTCCAGCAGCGCCCCTGCCTCCGCCGCCCCCCGCCCGCGCGGGCAACTTACTCGGAGCGGGCGGACCCCGCGAGCCCGCGGTCCTCGTCCCGCCTTCCCGCTGCCTCTTCTCCCCGGGTCTGCGGGCCGCCCGGCCCGAGGTTCCGCTCCGCACGTCCGCGAGCCGCTCCGCGCGCACCCCCCGCCCCCGTTAGCCCACCCCTCCACCGCACCGAGAGAAGTTTCCAGCCTGGCTGCCCGAGAGTTTGTCTGGGCAACTCGCACAGACCCCGTTTCCGGAGAGCTGGGAAGGGGGGCGCGAGGAAGGGGGGGGGCGAGGACCGTGGCGGGGAAGTCGGGGTGGAGGCGACGCGCGCGAGAAGGGTTAACCTCCTTTCCACAAACACATGCAGGCGTTCTTGCCACATCTAGCCCCGGCGCACACGCGCGCGCGCGCACACACACACACACACACACACACACACTCACACTCGCACGCACGATGCCAAAAGACCCTGGTAGGAAAAAGCCAGCCGGAAAGACGAGCTTTTCCTTTAAGACGCTGCCACAAAGGCACACTCACACGCCCCTCTCGGGCGACGCCAGCCCTCCGCTCGTAGCAACAGCCACCGGATAACTTTTGCATCCGAGCCTTTGCTGGGCCGCTTTAAGTGGCTCCCGGGCCCCGGGAAAGGCTGCATGGTCCCCCAAGCCCTTTAAAAATGAAACCAGGCTGGCGAAGCTGCAGCCGCTGGTCCCCCCCCCCGCGCGCCCGCCGGGCTCTCCCCGCCCGCCTTACCCCCGCTCGGAGCCGCTTCCCGGCGCGCAGACCCGGGAGGCCGAGGACCGCCGCCCGCGGGCGCTCCGCCTGCCC